CTGCTGACACTGTGTTAGCTAAGCTTCCCCTTGTAATATAAATAATTAATTACAGATCATTCACTGGCTTTTCATGATGAGCTGCTCAGTTAATTGAAAGAGTAGAGAAATGTCCGTAACGTTGCAGAGTAGTCAGTGAAGGCCAGATCAGGATCGCACCTTTGTTCTAGCGGGCAAATGGTGTAAGGCTACAAACAAAACCAGCCCAAGAGAACAGAGAACCTCTCCAGCTGCGGGGAGCATTGTAGCTCTGGGGCCCTAAGGCAGGGCGGGAGGAAAGCTGCTGGGAAAAGGGAGGGAGGGGAGTTAGTAACTGGGAGGGTGTTTCAGGAGCTGCGAGGTTTGGAAGGAGCAATGGCAGTTGGGGGATGTGAAAGAGAGAAATTCGGTGGTGGGAAGAAAGAATTAGAGAAGATGCAGTGGGCAAATTCAGAGGTTCGTTCCCACTGCCGAGGAAGAGATCTGGGTGAAGATGGCGTTTGGAAAGACACTGAGGGGACACAGATGCTTCACTTGCACAGGAAAGAAATCAAAGGAAAACTATTGTTATCAGAAGAGAAAAAAAGAAATTCTTGTCCCAGATGTAAGCTCAGCCTTGCAAAACCTGCCATTAGTGGGAAATTAAATGAATTCCCCCTGTAATTGGAAATGCCATTTCTCTCATAGCCCAGTGCTGACTATTCAACCCCAGATGAATGCAATAACATCACAAATATCAATTTCTGTTGGAAGCAACAGTTAGGTTAGGCCAAAAAAAAAAAAGTTATACCAGTGATGGATGAAGGGAGACAATGTGTAATAAACTGCACTAAGTGTGCCTGCATAGAGTGAACCTTATCAGTTTGGATGGAATTTAAGCACTTAGCCTGTTATCCTTTCTTTCAAGACAATGCAGTGATGAAAAACAGAACTCTGTCAACTCAGACAAACTTTTAATTTCACTTAACTGCATCTGAAAGGTAAATTTCAGTAAATGAATCCAAATTGCTTCCTTTTCACAACACACGGTGCTGAAATACAGTACTTAACTTCATTAAAGAAAAGACTGCTTTTCTTTAGAGGAGACCTAGACACTTTTGAAGTCTAACAGGTAAATTGTGGTCAGATGATTTCCCTCCATATGGTAGCTTTGAGCTTGAAATTTCCATCACTGGGGCCTTGTTTGTTTAAATTACTCTATCCGCCTCCCTGGTAAGGATACTGCTCAGAGAGTGCATGCCTACTGATGCTCATGGGGACCAGGGATCACTCCGTCCTCCAGCCTGTCTCCGTGCAGCCGAGTAAGAAGTTGCCACCATTGCATTTATTTGCCCTGTGTCCAACCAAGGATGAGGATGCAGCTTCAGGACCT